TCCTCCTTGTTTTTATGTGGCAAGGTATTTCTCACACTTCAGCGTGCATCCAGCACCTGGAGAGCTTGTCAATATGCAGATTGCTTGGTCCCACCCCCAGAGTTTCTGATTCAGTAGGTCTGGGATGGGGCCCAAGAATTTGCATGTATAAGCAAGTGACATAAAACTGAACTTGCCTATAAGTAGGTGTTACTTGAGAACATTGTTAAGACATGCCAACTGACCTAGGAATGACCCTCATCTAGGCATTTGCAGGGTAGCTGATCTCCAGAATGACACAGCAGGGAAGGAACAGCCTCTGTTTCAACTAGGGTGAGTCTCAGGAGAGGAATCAAAAGCAATCAGCCCAACTTGCTGTGATGCCCCTGCATTTAGTGATCCAATAAACTGAGAAAGTTTCAGCAGTTACTTTCCTGGAGGCTCTCTCTGGGGCCAATTACCTCTGGAGAATGGATAAGAAACACAAACAATTAAAAGTGCCACAGAGAGAGAGAGAGAGAGGTGTTTATACTCTGGTGAGGCTCCTAGCCACAGGGGAAATTAGGGAGCACCTGCATGGCCAGGATAATGAACAATTTCAAAAGAAAGACAGGCACTGAGGACCTGGTCCCTATGGGAGGATGCCAAGGCCTGAAATGCTTAGAAACTTGAGCCTTAAGGAGGAATTTTCTGAACTGAAACAAAAATGCAGATGAATTTAATTTCCCAGAAGGCTCAGTGGTTAAGCTCTCATTACAGAAACTCCATGTGAGACTATGTAACTTGGGGTGAGGCCGGATGCCACCCAACTAATGGACCAATCATATGGCAGGAGACCCACTTACAGAAAGCAAAGGACAAAAACAAAAACATAATCTAGGAGGAGCTTCTGATGAACAAATGGCCTTCTTTCGTCAGGTGTCTCAATAAATGTTTTAAGTGTGGCCTGATGAGGACGTAAAGTCATAAAAGACTTGTCTGTTTAGAGGGGGCCGAGGTCAAGAACAATGAGTATTAGCTACCTTTGTGGTGCTTGCTGGTCATCCTATGGATGGGATACTTTTCTTTTGTATCTAACTTATATCTCTTCTTGAAATATGCCTGTATTCTATTGCTCTGCTCTCAGGCAACTTCCACATCATAATAGTCTGTGGGCAGTATTCACTTGCTGACTGTTCTACTCAACTAACTCTCACACTTCTATGGCTACCAGTACAATATAAATTTACCATGACACACTTTAATGTGATTTAGATTAAATCTCAATAAAAAAAAATCCTGCTTAACTAAAGCACAATCGAGAAATGAAATATCTAATGATTTGTGAAAAGCATTGAACAAGCTTCAGTGAACAAGCAAATTACTACAAAGCACTTTGTTAGTAGATTATGTCAATGTTACTGTATCTGGCTCTATTGTCAAATAAAGTGGACCATGGTGCTGCCAAGAAAGTAAAGGGATTAAACAGCAGAAGAAGAATTGAGTCTCTGTCAGGGAGCAGTTGTGGTGATATAGAAACAACAGAGAACTTAGAGAAATGGGACCTGAGCTTCAGTTCCTACTCTTTGACTTTCTGGCTGTATAACTTTAAGAAAATTATGTTACCTCCCTGAGGCTCAGTGTTTCCATCTATAACTAGGTAAAATGTGGGATAAAAATACCCTAATAAGACGGCGTTGGGGATTAAATGAATAATATTTTAGGAATATACATAATAACACACCTGACATTTAGGTGGGTCTCTGTGCTGGTGAAGGGCAGGGTACATAGGATTATTTTCACTCCCTCTTGAAATACCACCAACACAATAGTTAAAGAATTATTTAATATAGAAACACCCACAAGGAATAAGAGAAAAGGAGAGGAGATGCTATAGATGAGATATCAATAAAATTTTCCAAAATTTTAAGTAGTTATAACAGTGGCAACTAGCTTGGCAAACAGGAAAACTGAAGCCCACATTTCTCCAGAGGAGAGGGGCTAAGACAACTCAAGCTGGGGTTCTCCATAGCATCAGAGGGGCTCAGAAAGTGAATGTACAAAATAGTCTTCAAGGCTGGAAATGGGTTGGCTGAAAGTCTGAAGAGTAGTGATTAATTCTGAAAATATCAAACCAGAGAGTCTCAGGCACTAAAAGACCTAACATACTAATAGTCAGGGGTCTCCCAGCAAAATGGCCAGAGCACTGAGTACCACACAGTTGAGTCCATCAGTTGACAAGTTCTGCTTATACCCACAGAGTTTCCAATTAACATTCTTGTGTCTCATTCTTAAGTAGGAAATGGGCAACCAAGGATCAGCAGCATTTGGCCAAGACCAGTATAACAAGGTGTAAGGCATGAGATGTAACGATGTCAAACTGCAAAATGAACTTCAAGACATCCCTCAAAGTAGATAGCCATGGACTGTTCACATGATTCTTGAACTCCTCACGCACTGTGAGGATATAAAACAGGGAGATAGGAAGGGAAATTGAGAGAGGGATTTCTTTGGAGAAAGCTATGGGTGCTCTACCACCATCGCACAACCAAGAGGGATGAGGTATGGCATGGTTCCAGCTAACCTCAAGTCAAGAGAGGGACTTCGAGAGAGCCACTCAGAGAGCTGGATATATGTCCCGAGCCATCAGTGGGATATAGTTAATGGTATCTGACTCACTCCTGGAAAAAGTCCATGAATGAGTCTGGTTGAGTAGAGAGACATAGCTGTTAACTGACTACAATCTCACTGAGTATAAGAAAAAGGTGCCAGTTTCCCACGGTCCATATAGGAAAGTGTGAAAGAGACATCTGGGACCACTGTAATCATTTCTAAGAGATCACCAGGAGGGAACAATGAAAACCCACAAAACTAATCTGTGTGGAATGGGTCCTAAAATGGGCCAAGCAGAAAACAGCTAGCTAAGACAAGTGAAGGGTAATCAAGAGTTTGAAGTTGGACCTGTACTGAATCCACAAAAGCATCTGAGAAAAAAAAAAAGTTAGTTAAACATCTGCCAGGTCCAGAGAGCATGAAGCAAATTTATGATGGCACTAGGCAAGTTAGGACTTACCTGCCCTCCAGGCTCATTATCCTCCCCTCCTATTTCAGCCCTGAAGGGGTCAGATATCAAGATTAGCAACAGGGGTGGGGGTGGTGGATGCTAAAGGCAGGAAAGGACGGATGAAGGGCCATAATGCCCTTTGCTGGTCTCCAGCAGCTGAAAGGCCTGACCAGGGGAGAGTAGCAGTCACTTTATTTTTTACTTGTTTATTTTTTTTTAAAGTGGCGGTCACTTTAAATAAGTTGGATGCTTTAGCTATTACACAGATGGAATTACCCAAGGACTTAGTTTTGTGTTTTGTGTCTGAAATTGATTTTCTATTTAGAACTGTTTAATAAGAGTCATCAGAAAAGACGGCAGATGGGACTGCCCAAGTTTTTACTTAGGAAAGAGGTGAATAGTTTCCCCACTGAGTTAATTCAAAAAGGACAGGAAACAAACAAACAAAATAAAGAAGCTTTCTGGTTCCACGCGTGAGTCAGACTTGTTCCAAACAAACATAAAAAGAAGTCAGGAAAAAAAAATCAAGGTAATTCAGAAAAAAGAAGGAAAAAAAAAACTTGCAAAGAGAGAAAAACAGATCACACAAAAAAGATCAGGAATAAGAACAAAATCTCAAAAACCTCTCAACCACAGAAGCTGGAAGACAGCGGCAACGTCTTCGGAATTATAGAGGAAAATAATTTCGCCTAGAATTCTATGCCCAGGCAACTTAAGGTAGACAACGGAATTACAAAATTTTCAGGTATTTCAAGGTCTCAAAAATTTTACCTCCTATTCATTCTTTCCTAGGAGCTGCTCCACCAAAATACAGGTAGTAACGTGTATTAAAAGGGGATCCAGAAAACAGGATCCAAGGAAAAAAAGAAGTCAAGCAGTAAAAGGAATTCCCAAGAGAATGGCCCAGAATAAATGCTTCACAGCAGGCCTGAGGAGAAGCCATTTCAGGCTGGGCGGGAGGATGGAAGTCTCCTGGACAGACTTCTTCAAGACAAAACAAGTGGAACTGACCTACTACTAGAGGTGGCTGACCATTTTGAGAATGATCTCCCAGTTCTGTCACATAAATTACAGCTAGGTACAATGAAAATTAAGCTAATGAAAAAGAAATCTAAATATTAACTTCAGGAAAAAATTTATATGAGAAGGATACCATGATAGTAATATGAATTTTTACTGAGTCTCCATGTGCCAGGCACCGTTCTAAACACTATATGGCCATTGTATCTTAAAATCCTCATAATTACCCTGTAAGCTAAGATTACAGGGTAGGAATTATGACTAGGCGCATTTCATCAATGAGGAAAGCAAGGTACGAAGGGGTTAAATGACTTGAATGATATCATATAGCTAATAAATACCGCAGCACAGATTTGAACCATGTAGTCTAAACTCTTAAAATCTGTGCTCTGTTGTAACCATAGGTTTGCTACAAGGCTCAACAATGAACAATATTTTCATAGTTGTCAATCTGTGCACACTGAATACTGGTCTGACCTATAATTATGACCTGATTATATACTGAGAATGGGGGGAGAGGAAGTATGTTGGGATAAGGTCGGGGAGTTAATCCTCATCTTCCCTGGTAGAAAGTTAATACAAATGATTAAAATTAGAAGGAAAAAAAAGTAAACCTATAATAATTTAAGTATATTCCTTAAAATACACAAGTAAGTCACAGAAGAAAAAGCTGAAAAAATTTGGAGAGGGTAACTGGATTTAGGGGTAGAGAAAGGAAAAGCAAGGCACTGATGCTTTTCACTATTATGGTTAACATATTTCCGCTTTTGAACTAAGCATTCGCATTTCTTTGATTTAAGAAGCCAGTTTAAACAAAATTTGTAAATACCGGGGAAAGGTAAGGAGGGATGGCATCTAGTAGTGAAATGGGCACTTGGACGCTAGCGGCAGGAGCCAGGACTACCGCGGCAAACCAAGGACAAGCTCTACTGGTCTTCTTGCAACTATCCAGGCGTACCTTCTGCACCAAACACCTCTCCACAGTGAGAGCAGAAGAAGTGCTCTGGGTGCCAGGTTTGGTTCATTGCCGTCAGCACTTTCTGGAAAAGGAACACACGGAGCCATATTAGAAAGTCCCAGAGCTATAAACCAGGGCCCCAGTGCAGAAGCAGGGGAAGGGGGACGACTTACATCCAGGATGGGAGCAGCACAGTAAGCGCAGCGTGGGGAAAAGAGATGGTGGTAGTCCTTGGGGCAGTAGGCCAAGCCACTCCGCTCAAAGAAGGGATGGGAGCCGATCTCCTCCTTGCAGTGAGTGCAGACAAAGTGCTCTGGATGCCACGCTTGCCCTAGAGCATGGATCACCTGGGGAGGAAATAAACCATGGCAGGCGATGGCAGCTGGGTCCTGGAGGGCCTACAGGTCGCACAATTCTGGACAGAACTTTTTACACAGTATTCCACGCAAACAGCGCCCCCACGGAGTTACACAACACAGAGGCCTAGACCCAGGTCCCACCTATGCGGTCTGGGGTCCGTGCTTTACGGATAGTAAAAGGGAGCCCAGTTTCCTGACTAATCATGCTGATAAAAGTCTGTAAGTGTTCGTTACCACGACACTGCCCTGGAGGTGGGGGAATCAGAATCGAGCACAGTAGCGATAGACAGGGATAACTACAGTCTGGCCTGGAGGAATTCCTGGAAGAGGAAAAGGCCAAATGAGAGTTTTTATTCCTCTGGTCTGAACACCTCATCTCCTGCCCCACACTGAGTCAGATCTCAGAGCCCTTTATTGTGGTTTTGGTGAAGGATGATGCAGAGCAGGAGTCTGTGGCCATGATTCAGAGCTGAGTCAGGTGAAAGTTACCATCAATCAACTTGACTGAGAATGTTGGGACAGAGTGGACAGTGGGAAAGTCCCTCCCAGGACCAGAAGTACAGAAAGGCAGTTAAGAGTCACACCTGGGAGTCAGGCTCTCCCGGTTCAAATCTTCCCTCTACCTCTTTCTAGACTTGGACATGTCAGTTAACATCCTGGAGCCCTTGGTTCCCTCGTCTTTACAAAAGAACAATAGTAGAGTCTCCCTTGAAGGGCTGATGTGACCATTAAGAGAGAATACTTGGCAAAGTGCTCAGCTCAGTGCCTGGAGCACTGTAAGGGATGAGTGATTATTAACTATTATGAAAATGTCTTAGGATAGAAGGTGACAGAGTAATCCTTGGTGGGACAGAGACAGACATACACGCAGTCATACATGGCGGCAGGACCAACATCTCAGCCCACCGCACCTTTCCTGCAATCGGTTTCTGACAGGAAGCACAGTGGCCCTTGGGCACTGTGGCAACCCCAAGGTCCTGCAGATCCTGCTCCAAACCCCCCAGCATTGAGTCCAGGGAGGCCTTGGGATCTTGCTTATTTGCTGTGTGTTTCTTGCTGGCATCTGCTTTCACTGCAACCTGGCACCAGGGAAAGAACCGTGAAAAAGAATCAGTCTCATGAATATTTGCCCTCGTTGGCATCTTCTACATGACTCCACAAGCTCACCTCTACTGACTGATGCTTTGTTCTGTACCTAACCTCTGGCCAAGGCACTGGAAGAGTCCAACATTGTAACACCAATAAAAATGCTTCCATCTCCCTTTTATCCTAAATTCCTCGGGCCAGGTGAAACACGAGTAATCTTCCTCCATTTGTAAATCTTTTCTGACCATGGGAAATTGAGTGTATGAAGATGATACCTTTCCTCACTCCTACAATGACCACAGGTCAACAACTAATCATATCTTCTTTTTGCCCATTTGTTCTGCAATGTTTATTGAGTACCTAGTTTGTGCCAGTCACAGCTCCAGGCTCTTGGTGTAGAGCAATGTACATGGTGACTGAGGAGTCTGCCCTCATGGAATTTATTTTCTCTGGGTGATAGACAATAAACGGATTAAATAAATGTATGATGTGATGTCAGGTAGAGATAAGACATAAGTTATATATCAAGATAGAAGTGCCAGAGGGTGGGACAGATTATTCCATGATGTGCTTAGGGGCTCAGAAATATTGAATTGATGGGAAAAGCATTCCAGAGGGAAGGGAGGCCCAGAGGAAGAGAACAGTTTGGTACGTCAGGAGAAAGTCAGAAAGGTCGGGGGGGGGGGGGTTGGAACAGAGGGAGTGAGAGTAAGCGTGGCAGGAGAAGACAATGGAGAGAGAGGCAAAGATCATGTGGCGCCCTCATGGTAAACTCAGGTTTTATTCCAAGGGTGATGGAGCCTCTGGAGGAGTTTGAGCATGAGAGCGAAAGAATCTGATCCACAAGATCCCTGTGGTAGCTGAGTGAGGAGTTAAGTGTAGGCAAGCAAGAGTGGAATAAGAGACACTAGTTTGGAAGGAGATTATTGTTAACAGTTCAAACCAGAAATAATGACTTGGTCCAGTGTTAGGGGAGAAGGCGATGAGAAACTGTCAGATAAGACTAACTGATGGACTGGATTTATTTAAGCAAACCCCCCAAAACAGTCATTATAACTCATTCAAAGGAAAAGCCTCGAATTACAAAAATGATGCGATGCCCAGCTTGTCCTTCATCACTTCATGTCCTGATTCTCTCTCTCTCAACTCCTTTCCGACTGGGCTACTACTACCATCAACCTAATACTTCCTGATCAGGAAACAGGTGCTCTCTACGGCCTCCACAGCATCAGATTTGCATGCACTAGACAGACATCCAAAGTCTCCCATTCGCTGCCCTCACTTTACCTTTCCAATCTATCTTTCATTCGTCACTAAAAGCCTCCATTGTTTGAGGCCAGTCAGGCTCCCTGCCGTCTCCCGAACGTGATTTGTTAGTGTCTGCCCTCAGGCCTCTACACAGCCTATTTTCACCGCCAGGAATAACCTTGCATTATCTCACTAATCCAAAATGCTCATTTCCCTTCAAGAAACTTATCAACTGACAGATTTCCTTCCTCCTCTATTATATAATGTTACTTAATGTTGAAGAGATTAGTGTTCCAAAGGTTACCATCTGGAAAGCCCAAAGGGATCATCAATATGAAGTAAGTAAAAACACAATTTTATATGTATATACACACATACATATACACACACACATATATCTATCCATATCTACACCTGTTTGCTTACATATTCCAGAATACTTCTGAGTGAATATATAAGAAACAGGGACAGAGGGGTGCCTGCTTGGCTAGGTCGTTAAGCGTCTGCCTTCGGCTCAGGTCATGATCCCAGCGTCCTGGGATCGAGCCCCACATCGGGCTCTCTGCTCTGCAGGGAGCCTGCTTCTCCCTCTCCCACTCCCCCTGCTTGTGTTCCCTCTCTTGCTGTGTCTCTCTCTGTCAAATAAATAAAATCTTTAAAAAAGAAAGAAAGAAAGAAACAGGGACAGAACAGGATGGCTGGGGACAGGGCTGATAGGGAAATAGCTCACTGCAAACTTTTGTACTTTTGATTTTTGCACAACATGAATTATGGCTCATTCCAAAAATAAACAGATATTTTAAAAATGTAAATAAACCATGACACACATTAAATCAATTAGGAAACACAATTAAAACTCCTAATGTAGATTTTTTCCCCAGTATTTTCAGATATACAATACAATGAGGAATGTACCCAGCTCTATTGTAGGCAGTGAAGAAAATTTGTTTCTGACGTCCATTCATTTGTTCCTCTAATATGTCAGGAACTGTGCAGGCATTGGGAGTCCAAAGGTGAGCCACAAAGATCAGGTTCCTGACCTCCCCAGGGACACACCTTTTTAGATACTGCCTTGCAATTATTTCATAGTCACTCATGCGTGCATATCAAATCCTCCAATCAATTTAAAGTGGTTGAATTCTCCACCTTAAGAATTCTAGATGATTTCCCTTAATAAATTATTAAGCCCACTTCTCTGATTTCCATCCCCTGCCAGGCCACGTGAGCTCACCACTCATGCTCTAGAGGCTAGAACAAGGAGGCGGATTTTTATCTCTGTATGGGGCTCAGGACTCCTCATCCTCCTTACTTTCAAAGCCGTACTCTGATCTCCCTGGCTCTGCCTCTGTTTGCCCTCCTCTGTCCCACTCAGGCAGGTCTCCCACGGTCCCACCACATTGCATCCAGCTGTAGATGCCCATGCCCTTGGGGCTCATGCCAACTGGAAGGGCCTCTTCTTTTATCTTTGTATCCAAACCCTTTCCATTCTTTGGAGTCCATCCCACATCCCATCCCCACCTCTGATAAAAGTCTCCACATTCCTAATGTTGGCTGCCCGTATTTTGATAAACTATCTGTGTTTTAATCTACAAATGTTACATGGGCTTCTGCTTCATTTTACCAAGCACATTCCACATTCCTTGAGATCAGAGCCTGCATCGTATTATCTTTTGTGTTAATACATAATAGAAAGTTGAGTTCATCTGCTGAATTAAATTTAGTCTGGGAAAAAAGAATGACAACCAAGAGTTCTGAAAGGGGACGGCAGAGCTGAGCTCCACGGAGACACACTCAGGCACGGAGACACACTCAGGAACTGCACTCACCTGGGTCTGCATCTCACACAGGTGGGCCATGAGCTCATCCAGCTGAGCAGCTGCTGAGGTTTTCGGAGGATGTGGTGCTTCCTTTGGCTTTTGGGCCTCACTACAGGGAGAAAAAAAATCCTAACACATCAAAACTCAGATAAATGTTAAGCCACACATAAAATACCAGAAAATGCAGTTTTACCTATTAACCCCTTACATGTGAGTAAAACTAGAGAAAGAGAGTATTTAAAAATAGGTAGTGACTAAAAATCTGAACAAGGTCTCCCTGCCTTTTGTCTCTATATCTCCGTTCTAGTCATCTCAAAAACCGACCATTGTTCTCAAGTGAATGAAGAAAAGCGCTGGACAGGTAGCTTGGCAGGTCATTGTCCCCCAGTGGTCAGGTGCAAAGCAGCTTCTGAAAAGACCTTTAAGAAGACAATGGCCCAGGGATGCCTGGGTGGCTCAGTCAGTTAAGCATCTGCCTTTGGCTCAGGTCATTATCTCAGGGTCCTGGGACTGAGCCCCGCATGGGGCTCCCTGCAGGGAGCCTGCTTCTCCCTCTCCCACTCCCCCCTGCTTGTGTTTCCTCTCTAGTGGTCTCTCTCTGTCAAATAAATAAATAAAATCTTTAACAAAAAAAAAGAAGACAATGGCCCAATATACATTTTTTATTTGCAAAGCATTATTTTTGAAATTATAAAGTATTACACTTTCTCTCATTGTCAGGTGAAAGATAAAAACTAAGTAAGAATAAAGAGCAAGCAACAGCAAACTAAGGTCCATGGGCCAAATTTGGCCATGCCCGTTCATTTACATACTGCTGCTTTCTTACAGAGTTGGATAGTTCCAACAGAGACCTTGTGGTCCAAGGTCAAAATATTTACTGTCTGCCCTTTACAGAAAAAGACCACTGAGAGAGTTTAGACAATGTACCTGATGTTCGTTTTACAACCATATAATTGTGACTAAATTGATGATTAAAATTTGGACCCAAGAAACAGAATACAGAGTCTATTCAAATACTTGCCCAATTGTTAGTAAATTTTTTTTTAAAGATTTTATTTGTCAGAGAGAGAGAGAGAAAGCACAAGCAGGGGGAGCGGCAGGCAGACAGAGAAACAGACTCACCACTGAGCAGGGAGCCCCGACGAGGCTCGATCCCAGAACCCCGGGATCATGACTTGAGCCAAAGGCAGATGCTTAACCAACTGAGCCACCCAGGCATCCCAGCCAATTGTTAGCAAATTAACTGTGTATGAGAGCACAGAATAAAAGCTCAATAAATTCTGAGAAGTAAATACAGACCATATTCTTCTATTGCTTTAATACGAATTAATCATAAGAAATCTACCCGCTTAAGAAAAAATAAAGCACTGCCAAATAATTCTTGTGAAGAAAAAAAATAAACTGAATTTTCAACCTATTTAGAAATAGCAATGAAAGCACATACACACACACACACCCTTCAAAGTGGAACCAATATATATATTTTTAAAGATTTTATTTATTTATTTATTTGTCAGAGAGAGTGTGCATGCATGTGTGCGGGCACATGAGAAGGGGGAGGGTCAGAGGGAGACAGAGAAGCAGACTCCCTGCTGAGCAAGGAGCCCGATGTGGGACTCGATCCCAGGACCCTGGGATCATGACCTGAGTCAAAGGCAGACTCTTAACCATTTGAGCCACCCAGACGTCCCACCAATATGCTATTAACAGGAAAAAATACAAATGGATTTAAGTGCAATATTGAAAAATAAGAGGCTAGAAGCAAATAAACAAAACATTCAACTCAAGAATCTAAAAAAAAAGAAAACCTAAAATAATTAAACAGAAGAACTAAAAGCGTAAATTATTGAAACAGAAAACAAACAGAAACTGAGGTTTGGGGGAGAATTGTGTAAATTTCAAGTACATAGAAAAATATGGAAAATCACCAAATAAGTTCTAGAAATATCACAGACACTCAATACTAAAACCAGACAAAAAGAGCACAGTGTACGTGTGTACGCGTGTGTGCATGGGTGCATGGGGCGGGGGAGGGAGGGAAGTTCAATAAAAACAGCAGAAATGAGTTTTAAAAACATCCTGGCTAGATAGTGTTATGCCAGTCTTTCAAGTGTGGTTCAACATTAGAAAAAGGATTACTATAATTCATTATACCCAAGAACAGAGAAAAGCTTTACAAACATATTGATAGGTGTTGAAAAGCAGTAGAAAACAAATTCTACCACCATTCCTGTTGTGGAGGATCGAGGAAAAGAAGTTTCGTAACCTGATAAAGTATAAAATCTATAATGAACCTCATATTTAATGTGCAAATACTAAACACATTTCTAATTAAGAGAAGAGCTCCGTGCTCAGCGGTGAGTCTGCTTAAGATTCTCTCCCTCTCCCTCTGCCCCTCCCCCACCTCTCTAAAATAAAATAAAATCTTTAAAAAAGAGAAGGATGAGAAGAACAAGGACCCTACTATCACTGCTGCTCTGCGGTGTCACTGCAGACCGCATTACTGGATGCATTTAAGAATACAAATACGAGATTTATATATTGGAAAGAAAAAGGTAAAACATTCTCATTCCTATTTTCTCTTTTAACTGGATGGTATGATCACTTACCTGGAAAATGCAAGATAAGTGACTGGATAATTATTAGAATGTATAGAAAATACCAGGATGGTTACTAGGCACAAGAATAAAATGAGGGGGTGCCTGGCTGGCTCAGTAGGTAGAGCATGTGACTCTTTTTGTGTTTTTTAAAGAAAGAACATGTGTGTGGGGACATGAGCTGGGGAGGGGGCAGAGGGAGCAGGAAGCATCAGCAGGAGAGAGAGACTCTTAAGCAGACTCCACACTCAGCCTGGAACCCTGTGATCATGACCCTGAGATCATGACCTAAGTGAAATCAAGAGCCAGACACTTAACCCACAGAGCCACCCAGGGGCCCCAGGGCATGTGACTCTTGATACTGGGGTCGTGAGTTCAAGCCCCACACTGGGCATGGAGCCTACTTAAAATTAAAAAAAAAATTAAAAATTAATTTAAAAATAAAAAAAGAATAAAATGAAATAATTAGTATCTTTCCTATAGACCAGTAGTAGCTGATTTGAAAATCCACTGGGAAAAAAGAACATGTTCATAATACCAACAAAAAAACTATAAAATATTAAAGAATCACTCTAACAAGACTTCTATGAAGAGAAACCCACTGGTAGACATACAAGATGCACATAAATCATGATACATAATATGATGTCAGTTTCTCCAGTTAAACTATAAATTCAATGTAATTCATACAGAAATCCTAATAGAATTATTCAAGTTCATTAATAAGTTGATGCTAAAATTCGTGGGCTAAAATACTCAAGATAATTTTGGGGAAAAAAAAAAAGAGATGAAGAAGGAAGATCTGTCCAATAGCTGTGCTTTCCTATAAATTAATAATAAAATTTGTGTGATGTTGGTAAAGAAATGGACAAACAGATCAAAGGAATGGAAGAGAGAGAAAGCCCAGAAAGAGACTCCTGAACCATGAGAATTTTGCATATGCTAAATGTGCCATTTCAAATCATCAGAAATAGACTATTAGACACAAAATGCATGACAACCTATTTGAAACACAATAAATTTAGATCTCTAACAAACTCTACACATGAATAAGTTTTAAATGAATTTAAGACATAAATACGTTTAAACATTAACAAAAAAGAAAATGGAGGACACTTTTTATAATTTGGGGTGATGAAGACTTTCCTAAGAAAGGCATAAACTCTGAAGTGAAGGAAAAAAAAAGAAAAAATATTAATAGGGCCAATCTCAAAAAAATTTAAACATACATAAGTATTTAAAACATAAATAATATCCAAATATTAAAAAGTCTACAAATAAGGCAAGCTAATAGAAACATGGGCTAGGGGATTAAAAGAAGAAAAGCAAGTTTCAGAAAAAGAAATTTGAATTTTTATTACCATATAAAAATATGTTCAATCTCAATCTTTAATATCCAAATTAAATAGTGAGATACCAATTTTTACCCATTAGTCAAAAATCTGAAAGACTGATAACATGCAGTGGTGGCAAAAGTCAGGATTATTTTACACATATACATTTACATACATCATAGGTAGCAATGTAAATTTATTATATCCTTTGCAAGGCAGTATCTATCAATAATTCATATGCATATATCCTGGGATTCAGCAATCTCACTTCCAAGATTCTATCCTACAAGAAAATGAAGATATACATAAAAAGGTATATGTCGATGTTCCTTAAGACAAAAAAGTACAGTCTTTATGAACAAATTAAAAATAAAATAAATGGACATATAGCTAAATAAATTATAGATACATGCTACAGAATACCATGTAGCTGCTAAAAAGAATGCAGGCATAGATTTATATGAATTAAGGAAGACTTTTTTTTTTTTTAAAGATTTTATTTATTTATTTGACAGAGAGACAAAGAGAGAGAGAGAGAGAGAGCGCGCACAGGCGGGGGGGCAGAGGCAGAGGGAGAAGCAGGCTTCCCACTGAGCAAGGAGCCCAATGTGGGACTTGATCCCAGGACCCTGGGATCATGACCTTAGCCAAAGGCAGACGCTTAACCAACTGAGCCACCCAAGCACCCCAAATTAAGGAAGACTTCTAAGATACATTGTTAAGAAAGCAAAGCCCACAACAATATGAAAACTATCCTTCCATTCATGTGAATTTATAAGCACATAAACCTAAGTGTGACTTTGCATACACAAAGGTCTATAAGGAGCCATATCTGACAGCAGTTACCTATGGGGATAGCAATTAATGGTGGTAGGAGGATGCGTTCAAAGGGAGATGGTCTAACTTTTTACTCTGTATATTTCTGAATTCTTAGTTATTTTTACTATTAACAGGTTAAATATAAAGTTAATGTAAGTACAGAAAATTTTAAAGATGCAGAGAGATATAAAGAAAAAATTAAAATCACACTTAATTCTCCTTTTGAAAGGCAATTAATCATTCTGGACATGTTGGCTTAAACCATTATGCCCTTCTATGATTGTGCCTAATTTTGGAAAATTAGAATGATCTTTTTTCGTATTTTGAAGTGTCTTTATGTATTTTCTTATCTAACTTGG